AAGTCTGCTGCTGGGTCATGGTAGGTGGTACAAGGCGTGGCTGGCTTGGAAAGACGTGACCATCCAGATACAGCGGGGGAATATGATTCCCTGCATCAGGGGCAAAACCCAAACAAGCTTTCATTTACTCCTCTAAGATAAATCCTTCATCAAACTCAAGAAACAAAATGTAGTTTTACCTTGCATGGACATGGAAGGTGCTACTGATGCAACGGGCATTGGTGGCATGGAAACGCCTCCAAACGAGCTGTAACTGACACCAGTGGATGAGCCGCCACTGCAGGGAGGCTGAGCACCTGAAGCGCTGCCACCAGGAGAGCCCTGCTCAGGAAGAGACTGGGAGTTCTCCCACGCCTTGCGTGCTGACTCCATCTGCAGAGACACAAACATTTCAGATCAGAGTTTTTCTAATGTTTTTCTTACATCAGACAGGCTCATACTGTCAATCTTTTTAAATCTTATCTTATAACGCATTTTTATTTACTGGCTTTTAATACAGCATGAGAGTTATTTGTTATTTGTTAATTCATATTTGGTGTTTGCTTTTAATACTCTAAGTTGTTTTATTATGTATGTTGTATTCTTGTACAGCACTTTGGTCAACGCTCCTGTTGTAATTAAATGTGCTATATAAATAATTAAACTATTAAACTATTAATGTTTCCTACTAAAAGCACCACAAATCAACAGGAGTACCATTCTTTCTAAGTTATATATTTTAAAAAAACAAAACTATCTGACATTGGATTGTGATTTAAATACCTTGAGAGTGAGATCAGCACTGGGAAAGGAGATGGGGTTGAGGTTGATGCCAGGCTGCAGGTGGTTGGAGCGCAGAATGGGGATACTCTGATTCAAAGCCGTCTGTTTGAGGACAAAGAAGATTATAAATACTTACAAATCAACATATCTTATTTTCAAATAAGACACTATTCCATTAATGGTTTCAAGTGTATTACAGCTAGTTTCATTGATTTCTATAAAGTACAATAAGTCACTTACGTCCTGAAGCTTGTTCACAGGATTGGACACGGGTACTGGGGTAGAACCCGGCGGCAGGCTGAAATCTGAATCTTTGGCACTGACACCAAACTCAATGGGTGGGACAGGCAGCACAGTGTCCACATGGAGGTCCACACCATTGACTGGTGTGATAGGGCCACCTTCCAGCCTATCGACACCTTCTGAGCCCTTCCGGTGTTTCAGGGAGCGTTCATTTCCGATGGGCCCTGGCTTGTGCTGCTCTTTGTTTTGTTCTGGGCCCGCATCAGAGTCCTGTCCCAAAACATGCAATGTTATGAGTCCATGTTTTTGAAAGCAATACTAGAACAACTGAAACTAATGTGAAAAAGAAAGTTAAAATGAGATTAAAAACAAACAAACAAAAAAAAAAAAAAAAACATGCAGTTTAGTAGCAGCTGCATCACACTACCTCAGAGTTGGGCTCACTCCCAGTGTAAGACACCTGTTTGGTCCATGAGTCTCCCCCTGAAGACTGCACTGAAAGAGCTTAAACAGATACACAAACCTCACTGTTATTAATGAAAAATGCAATCATTTGAAAAACAAAATGTTCACAAAAAACTCAAGCTTTCCTATTATGCACATTCATATTACAACATCTGTTCTTTATGGACTTTGCCATAAATACTGGGAATAATGCTGCAATGCTCTTGTTCTATATGTAGGTTAGATTATATGATTAATCTCTCATGGAGTAACGAGTGCCCAGGCTTCACCACAAGCTATGAAAGGACTTGTCAGTTAATTTTAGTTAATTTTGAGTCCCAGGAAAAGGGAGAGTAACATTACTTTAAGTTGGTGCAAAACGTTTTGTTAAATCCCTAAAATTAAATATAGAAGTCTGCACTTAAAGCATGCCTTCATTGTTCAAGTTCACTGTGATGGTGAACAAAGGTAACCTTTCAAAAAATGTAATTACCCAAAAATTCATGGGGCCTGACTGTATGTGCCGTCAGTGTGTGTTGAGGCTAAAGGTTTATGTTTAATATAACAAAATGCATATCTCAATGAAGCACTGACCAAAAATTAAATAAATAACAATACCTGAGCTGTTGGTCTCCCAGATTTCAGTTCCCAGATTGTTAGAAGAAATTCCTTCCTCGGGTTGTTCAATGCTCATGCTTCCCTGCTTTTTGGCAAAGCGTGGTGGCATCTTGGAAGTGACTGTCCTGTTTTTCACTGGTACCTAAGGTGGTTAAAAGAAAAAGCTTCAAGGTTCGCTGTGTAAAAATGGCAAGCAACTAAATGGAACGAACACTTTTGTGTAAACATAATGTGATATATCCTAGAAAATACTGCCGGCCTCCAGTGCTACCCCCCTCAGCTTCCTTGTACATGCACCTGAGTTAGAAATGTGAAAATCCTAGATCACTTCCTTGAGTTATCCCTGAAATTTTAACTTGTCCCAGAGTTTTGGTAAATGTACCTATGGTACACATGTGAAATCCCTATGCCATCACTTTTTTATGCTTGAGGGATAAAAAAAAAAATTAAAAAAAATTACACATTCCCTCTCTTCTTCACATGCCGATGTGCTTGCAAAGTCTGATGTAATGAGTTAATTACAGTGTAATTAAGTTAAGGCTGTTCGATATAACGATATATATCGGGTGACGATATAGAAACGTCTATCGTTTCATTTTATGCTATCGTTTGTTTCGTGGTGTCGCAAAATAAACTGTAGTGGCTATATTAATTTCTTAAAGTTATCTTTTTCCTCTTATATTTAATATAACCACACTACGGATGGACAAGCGCCTGTTTTTATGCATTGTCGTTAGCAACAATGACGGTAACAGCGTCACGTGTCTGCTTGTTTATGTTCCACATAAACCTTTCACAATAAAGCTCAAGATCCTGTTGAGACTTTTCAAAATAAACTGAATCACGTGAAAGAGCAGATTATTTACGGATGAGAAGTAAAAAAAGAGCCGCCAGGTGCTAAAAAATAAACCTTAGACTCAAACGTTAGAACAAGCAACCCGCAGCACGCCGTGTAATAAATACTCACAAAGAAAACGGGCTTTACAACTTATGTCTAAAAATGTATAGTTTCATGCATCTGTTAAAACACTCGACTCCAGCTACATGACGCGCCGCTGGAAACACTTCCAGCAAGATGAGCTGCCCGAGATTCACAGAATTTACAGAAAATGTTACATTTTTGTGATTTATAATGTTATCGGATGATAGAATTCTTATATCGGGATATGAGATTTTGGTCATATCGCACAGCCCTAAATTAAGTGAGTGTAATTAAGGGATCAGTGCAGCCACATTCCCAGAGATCAGTGTCCAGGCATCACAGCCAGCACTTACTAAACTAGGTATCATCTGTGTAATACAAAAAGAGTAGCACTGCCATGTATTTGTGCCTGTTTGTTTTGTTTGGACATGTTAAAGTAAGGGTTGAATTATTCTCAAATTTAGCACATGTTCAGCAGTCAGTCAGGCAGAGACAATTATATGGAAGAAAAGACGCAACAAAAACTGACAGCATGGCAGCCAACAGAGCATCTTAAATAAAACAACATTAAACATGAAGTTGCTGTGTGATTTAAGTCAACTACCAGAAGGTCATGATAGAGGGGTTGACAACTGACTCGCTTTTTAGGACTTACATCTTGTAGAGAAACAAATGAGCAGTGCTGCAGCAAGCTGGAAAGACAAGAAGGCTTTGCCAATGCAGAAGGAGCTTGGACTCAAACAGTATTATCAGAAGGTCATTGCTGTATCACTTAACAATTAAGTAAGCTTGCAGCTTTCTCCAACTCCAACAATGCATGAATGTGACGATTAGTTTGTAGCATTTTTTAGCAAAGTTGTTTGAAAGCGGGAGGCGAGCCAATTTACAAGCAAGGGTTTAGCGAACTGCTGAACTGATTTGCTCAAGTAAACCCTGTCAAGACTGTATTATACCATTCTAGGTAGATAAGATCACATCGGTCAGCTAACCCTTGGCGACCAGTCGCCTGGGGAAAAAGGTATATTTCTCAGTGGGGTGTGAAGTAGCTTTAACTGGCTGCTGCCAGGTAAAATATGTGGCAAAAAATCAGCTTGCCCAAAAACCTCCTTGTGAATTCACAGGGAGATTGCCATGGTCAGCAGTATTTTGCATAGTAGACAGTGACTTTCCTGAAAACATCTGGCAACTGCTCACTGATTGGTGACTGAGTACTAAAAAGCATTAACAACCAACCACTGCAGGACTCATAAAGGGAGCAATAGGGCACTTATAGGACTGCAGTTCACATATTGGGCCAACAGTGTCATAAAAATTACTTTCCGAATTAAACACATTTTAGAGGGCCATTTTTATTAAAAAAAAAAAAACAAGCAAACTAATAATATTTTTTGAGTATTTAGAATTTGGTGTATGTTAAACTTACAGCTGCCCCTTGTTCTTTCCTCCTCCTGTCATCTTCCTGTGGGCGTCTTTGCTTTTTGGACAAGGCATCCTGGTATCCATCTGCATTTGAACCTGGTCCCCCTGCGTCTCCTTCAACTACAAAACAAAGTTTTTGTCAGAGGAAAAATCAAGAGTGCTCAAGTAAAAGCTGCAGTGCTGAATCGCATCTGTACCTGTGTAAAATGCTCTATTAATACATTTTACCCTGAATTAAATTACCCCACCTAAAATGTAAAGCTGCTAAAGACTTTCTCCCAGTTTAAACCTAAAATATGAGACCTTTCAATTAATTTTACTATTTAAAAATTATTAATGGTATTCTCACTGCACCTAGAAAAAAAATCAGTTATTCTGCTGTCTGAAAACAAAAAAGGAGGTCACCAAGACTCAAGCTTTTTTTGCTTTACGAGACACACCTATGGTATCAATTTCAAAATCCTGTGTTTCCTTGTTCTCAAGTTATCGCTTTCAGAAACTTGTGTCCTCACCCCCTACACCAGCATGGTAATGGCGCCTTTTACAGCTGAGGGGTAGAAATGTGTATATAAAATATAGCATATGTGAGCACAGAGAGTGAGAGAAAAAAAGAACAGACGTCAATTGCAAACAGGAAGCCAGCGCACTGAAGTGAGATTAAAAAAAAAAAAGAAAGTAGCCCACACCAGAACTTCTTTATTGCTTGCAAATCTGTTTCCACCACCCATGGTTATCCCTCAGCATTAAATTTTCCCCATAGCTTTGGCCTGTGGGCATGACATCAAAGTTAATCATCATGTTAGCCACGTTAGCTGGGTTGCGTGCAAACAGGATTGTCCTACTGCTGTAGGGACACTGCCATAAAAAGTTATTTACTAACTTTTCAGCTTGTCAGGGGACAAGAGCACATTAGAGTACTATTTGTAGGCCTCACACCTCTAACACGTTATCTGAGTTTTTAGTTCTCAATCTATATTAACAGACATGAACTTCACCTTGGAGTTGCTGTTCTGCAGCTGTGCAACTTAATTTTTAAACAAGTTAGTCTGATTCCACACATGTTAAGAAAAACAAAATCACATAACACAAACAAGATTCAAGGGGATTAGAGGAATGAATGAAAGCAAATGTGTTTACAGTATTTTTAACACTAAAAATACACTATTGCCAACACTTTGTTTCCATCAGAGTGCATTCCCTATGCATTCCATAAAGATGTGAAAGAAAGTTGGACTCACTTGGGTAGCTGCTGAGCTCATATGGGGACAGTGGTTCAGTGATGTCTGTTTTGACAGGTCCTGGCTTCAGCTCCTTGTCTAATTTCTTCCCAGCGGGCTCAATGGGCTCCCTCTCTTCTGGCAGCTGCTCTATGCTGTATACAGAGCCTGACTCATCTGGACTCCTGCTGTGAACAGGACATAGAAAAAGTGCTTAAATTGTGTGTTTTTTCAAAATAAACCAAATTGAGTAACTTAAAATGGTGTCCTTGTAATCAAAATTATAGTCATCATCATACAAATAACAAAGTGTTGTTGGTTTCTAAGTAGCTATAACAGACGACTGGTCAGTAAGTTATTTGCCTCACCTTTTACAAGAAGTGCCTCCGTTCTGCCAGCTGTCACTCCTGTTCGATGAGGAGGTGGGAGGATTATCAGGTGCACGCACCATCTTGCTTGCGTCCAGCAGTGATGGTTCTCCTTTCCTGTTCTGCCGTTCCACCAATGGTCTCTGACTAGAGAAGCTTCTCTTAGAAAGCTCCCTCTTCTCACTGGAGCCTGGCTCCTGGCCAGAGTCTGAGGGAATATCGCCATGGCCCTGTGTAGCAATGCCTCCACCTCCACTCCGTTTCTCTCTCCAGTCACCAAAGTCGCTGTTGTCTGAACCCGTCTCCCATTCCTCTGTCTGGCCATGCTGGCTAGAACGTCCAGAGTAGTGGCCACTGGGCCAGTTATCATCACCAGTGCTTTTAGAATGACCTGGCCAGGGATTTGCAAAGTCTCCGTTTATGAACTCATCACTTGTCCACTGATTTGAGCCAGGTTCACGCTCTTGTCGTAGACGACGGAAGCGCGGAGGCTTGTCTTGACGTGGAGGACGCCTTCTCCTTAAAATCTGTCTGTCAGGGTTCTCGCTGTCAAAGTAGTATTCTCCTTCACGCTCCTCTGTTCCATTTTCCATGAAGGAGCCAGTAAATTTAGGAGTGTACTTGAGAGCGTCACGCTCAACTGGGGGTCTGCGGGAGTAAGCAGTCTCTGCTCCAGGACCATAACCATTTTCTTGCATCGAGCCGCTACTGCTGCCACTAAATTGAGGCCCACGGCCCCTCCATGTAGAAATATCTCTAGATCCTCCAAAGCTTCGACTGTAACTACCAGTGGTGTTCAGTCGTGGAGGCAGCACCCGATTTCCAAAGCCTCTGGTGACCTTGGTCTTTTCTCTGGAATCTGGGGCAGTCTGATCATCTGTGTACACCTTGTTGGATCTCCAAGAGTCTCTATCAGCTTTACGGACATCCCCAGACTCTGTATAGCCTTCTCCATTTTCAGATCCTTTCTGGCGACGCCTCTTGGGAAGTTCCTCATACTCTGAGGCTTCACTCAATGTTTCACTGACATTTCGCCTACGGGGTTTGCCCCTCTGAAACTCCTCGACCTTGATTAGATCCCTGGGTGGTGCTCGACCTCTGCCTACTCGCTGAGTGCTGCTGCCACTGCTGTTGTTATTGTTGTTATAAACACCTCTGAGATTATCTCCACCGCGGCCACCGCGGGTTCCACCTCTGGAGTTAAATTCCCGGAAGCCTCGACTGCGGCCTCTACCCGTCCCCCTCACTGCACCAAAGGCCTGTTCTTCATCAATAAAGATCCAGTTATTGCGCCGTGGTGCCTGGGGTTCTCGGTTCTCCTGACTGTCTCTAAGTGACTGGCTTTTAGCACTGCTCCAAGTGTTCTCCTTGGGAGAGTCATCGCTGTGGGTGGTCAGAGGTCTGTCCATTTTACTGGGAGCTGGAGACTGGCGCTGCCTCTCTTCAGGTTGTTTTTCAACCACAGGTGATGCAGAACGCCTATTGTTGGCAGGCTGGTTGTCTTTCTTCAAGTCATAAACGTTAGTAAGGACTTCTTTCTCCAGGCGGTAGGGGACAGGCTTCTCCTCAGGCTCAGGTTTAGGCTTTTCATTCTCCTTGTCTTCCACTTTGAGAGCCTTAAGAACTGGTTTCTTGATGGGACCAGTTCTGCGTATCAAGGTGCGTCCACTAGCCTCAGATGGCTGGTTGACACTACTTGAACTGGAACTGGCTTCAGACCACTGGTTTTGGGCACTGTTAACCCCTCCGTCTTGTTTCTGGCTACCATCTCTTTTCCAGTTGTCTGTGGAGCCATCTAAGGCCTCGTCGTGGGATTCAAGGCCATCTTTCAGATGCTTGTCTCTCAACTCTTGCTTTGGGAATTCAATATCTGAATAATTCTGAGAGAGGTTCTGAGCGGTGGTGAGCAAGCCTTGGTCATGTTGTTCTCTGTCTGAACCTCTGCTCTGATAACTGTGATGGGGAAGATCATCTTGAGTGTGGGACAAACAATCACTGGCCCTCTCTTCATAGGAGTCCTGTTGGGAAGAGGCCATATCACCTCTGTGGATACGAGGAGACATAAAAAAAATAAAAAAAAAGATTAGGAATGAAAAAACCAGACAGAGGCCCATTAACAGAGCCTCTTGCCCTTAACAACATAGATTCCATTAAAAAAAAAAAAAAAACATGGACTTTACAGCGTTGAAGGAATTATTAAAATGCTCAGTTTCACAGATTAAAACACAAGAGGGCCTCATGCCTTAATTTAAGGACTGCAGAATTCGAACAAAATAAACTTACCTGTCATCGGGATGTCCGCTTTCCGAGCTTTCACGCTGTCTCTGGTAAGGTGGAGTAAAGCTACGCAAGGGATAGCCATCTTGATTCCACACTGGGTAAGGCTCAGTGGAAGGCGCTCGTCTCTCCTGAGGCAAGTTTGGATGGCATCCCTCATCAGAACCGGGACTGTTCAAGTGATCTTGGTGCATCATAGGTTTTACCATTCCTGCTGAAAATCAATCAATCACATATTAATCATGTTAAACATGATTTCAGGTGTGTCTGTCCTTCCGTTATTGACTGTATAGTTTGTTTATACCGAAACAAATGTGTCTGGCCAAACCACCTGTTATTTGTTTAAATTTAATACATATAAGTATATACAGATTTAGTAATTACCAGGGTAGTAGTCAACAGGAGACCGTCCCTGGGTCATGCGGGGATCCATGAAAGGTGGCATCATCATCCAGCGCGGATCAAAACCGAGGACATGTGGAGGGTAGTAGCCCCGCTGAGTGTGGCTTGACCCTGATGGATTAGGGTGACCTGACTGCTGCCAATGCTGCATCTTGAACATTTGTTCCTTTAAAATCCACACAATAGACATTCAACAAATGGGCAAAATTGACACTGTCTGTTTTGTGTAAAATGAGACAAACTAATTGAAGACATTTCCAGGCTAAGCTAACAAAGTCAGCAGGATGTTGTTCCCCATTTAGCATTCATAACAAAAAAATCAAAGTACATTTATTCTCATATATTTTAGAATGAACCAAGAAGATGCTGGAGATTCTCTTCTCAAGAAATTAGACCTAACGTTCTAAATATCCTAGTTTCACTTCTCTAGCACAACCCCATCATGGTCAATATCAAAGAGGCTGTTCTTTATGAAGGTGACCAGTTCCAACACACAAGCTGTACTTGCCTGGGCTGCCCAGGTGTATTAGTGGCCTAATGCCGCATAATAAGGTCAGCAAGTAAGCCATCTGTAAGAGATCCTGAATGCAGTAACACTAGAAGTTCCAGATGGCTAATTTGTGCCTCTGTAAAGCTGCGGGGAGTTTATGGTTTTCACCCGAATATACACCATAGGCTACTGTCACACATTTGTTACATTATTTATAGATGTTTTAGTGCAGCTCCTCATTTCCTAAATCTCTACAACCAAGGTGGACAGTGCAATGTTAACATGACCATGGGCCACATTATTAAGAACAGTGCAATGAAACCAGAATTCTCCTTAATTTGGAGTTGAAGCTATTGGCATCAGCTGGTGCTCACCTGCTGCTGGTGGTGTTGTGGTTGCTTTTGAAAGCGGGGTGGCACTGGTTTGATTGGCTGACGCCCACTGTAGTCTCCTGATGGTGAGGAGGGCTCTGGGCCATCGTCTTCACTGCCACGGTAGGTAGAGAAGCCAGACTCTTCACGGTAACTATGGCCAGGGGAAATGTCCGAGGGACACTCACTTCCATCTGGAAATCGTGATAAAACACGCTTGAATAGTTGCATTTGTGCATTTTTAAAACTATATTTTATATAAAATAAAAAGCACTAAGGACTCTTTTTACCTTTTGTGCTGTAGTGCCAGTTATCATGGTGGCTTCGACTCTGTTCCCGACTTGGGGACAGTGGAACTTCTTTTCCCTCTACCTCCTTCTGGCTGTCATCCGTCCTTGATGTCTGCCTTTCAGTCTTCCCAAATTTTTCATCCAGTTTTTTGAGCTTTTCAGCACATGCTGCCAGACGTTCCTCACGAGCACGCCTCTCTTCCTCCTCCCGCCGTCTTCGGGCTCTCTCAACAGCCTCAGAGAGCTCTGGCGACACATACTTGGCCCTAGCTGGTGCCTGAGACTGCCGCTGGTGATCATCCTGGTCAGCAAGTGGGTCTCCTTGGTTTCTCTGTTGGACCTAAAGGAGTTAAAGGGGAGGAACTTGAGTGATGAAGATTATCCCTTACTTTTTTTTTTTTTTCTTTTTTTTTTAAGGAGGTCCATTAGATTTTATTTCACTCCAAATTTATTTTTTTGGGGGGGGGGGGGGGGGGGGGGGGACTAGCAACTATTTCTCCCAGATTAGTTGCTACTCAAACTCGCTGTTACCCGTAGGACACTTGTCCTGTTTCTTAAATTGCATATCCTATAGTATCTCTTGCTAAAATAAACAATCGCCCTGGGAACAGATAAAAGCTTTGTTTTTATTATAAGACATATTTTAATATTGTGGTATCTTTAGCTTATTTTAAATAAGTGGTTTGACAAATTTTCTACAATGAATTGCAACTAACAAACACCAAACGGACTTGGCAAATGAAAAGTGCTTAGACATATCACTATGGTTACCGCAAGGTCATATCTCCTAACTCGCAATGACAGACTCACTTCAGGGTATGTAAAGGCAGACAGCTATTCATATGCTCTACAGTGGTGTCTCTATAACATTCCACAGTCACAAAGGAATTAAAGAAAATGGTGTGTTTTGACTGTGATCATCATAATAATTTGATCTTAGGTAAGTAATCTCAAAAGAGGGCTGAAATGGAAAAACACTGCCCTGTGCATGGTTACCTGGGTGTCTGTGGAGAGATATTTGCCGTTGGTCTTCCTGGGAGGCTCGTGGTGGTGATGCTGGAAAGAGTAACTCTCTTCTGGACCCTCTTGTGGGTAAGATGCCTCCCCTGAGCTAAGGGAGGAATGGCAGTCCCGCTGGTTATCTCTCTCCCTCTCCCAGTCAGCCCTATGAAGAAAAATAAAGCCAGAAACATTTTTAAATAAAGACAATTGGAGTGTTTAGAGTAATAAGCAGCCTTTAGGGACGCGCTCTCACCAGATCTTGTTTTTGTCACTGGAAGAGTGTTCTTCTTCATCATCACTAAATTTGAGCTTCTCACTATAATCAACCTCCTCATGAAGTCCTGTGGGCAGGGGGAAAACAAAACGGTCAGTCACAGTGGTGAATCAGGGTGAGGTCTAAACTATACTGTCCTGGCTGTATTTATAGAGTGAGGTAACACTAGCTGTGAGGTTGAGCAGACAAACAGTTTGTTCTCCTGGGTCGTATTTGTATTGTGAAGAACAGTCACCCTGTTCTTTAGAATCACAGTTTAAAGCAACTCTTTTTTCCCCCATTTATCTGTCAGACTGTGGTGAATAAGTCACTTGACTTGCTCTAAACAGGTAGGCCGACATCCCATTTATTTAACAACAGTCAACCAGAAAACTGTTATTAAAAAGCCACAGTTGGAACTGGATCTCATCAGCAATTGCCAAATTATACCGAGCTGGTATTTGGTTTTCATAGTACATACAAAGCCCATCTGATTGCGTCCTCTGTGGCTTTGCTTTGGGAAATATACACATAACCGTTCGCAGTGTGTGTGAGGAAGATTAGCATTACCCTAAAGTACACAGGCTGCACCATTGAGGATATGACGAGATAAAGAGAAAGCACCACTCCAAGCCTTTAACTGGAATCTCTTGATCATGTTACACATTCAATAAAGTAACATTAACATTTATTTTCTTACTTATAAGCCACAGACATATCATGCATCCGCAGGGTTTTTCTTCCATATAAGAAATTTTAATGGCCACTAATGAGATTGTGACCCTCTCCCAAAGGAAAAGGATCACTGTGACTGCAATTTAAAGCTTGCAGTCACAGTGAAATCTACCGTGAAATATATTTTTTGTTAAAATGGTCAAAAATGATGGGAAATACTCATCACCTTCTGTAAGATAAATTAACAGACTGATCATGTATAAGTCTATGGCCAACTGCAAAAGGCCCCAACAATGAATACTAGAAAGTGATCAATACAGCATTCCACACATAAAAATATAATGGTGAAAGATATTCACAAGCTATAGAAGAATCTCACAGTGAGAAAGTGTCTGGGACCATTACACATGTCTAAGATATACTGACCAGCCCATCCATCTTCACAATCATTGTCAAGCTCATCCAGATCCTTCAAATCCTCTGGATTAATAATGGCTGGGCGAACTGGTCTGTCGGTAGGTCTACGGATAGGCTGCGAAGAAAGTCGAGGCGCAGCACGGACAAAGCGATTCTCTCTCCTTACGTCACCACTGCAATGAGATTATGGCAAATTAACAACTGCCAAGTATCCCAGATCTCTATGTCAAACTGCTGAAAAATGGATAACTACTTGGATATTTAAAATGAACTTACTTTACAAGCTCAGGTTTGGCATAGCTCTGCCTAAAAGTAGGTTTGCTGTCAAAACGGGCGGGGGCTGCTACGGTGGTGGGAACATGGTCTGTACCCGTAGCTTCACGTGTCTCTTTAGAGCACATCTGAAAACAGCAGCACCACACATGCCACATCATATCAGGCATGCAAATGCCAAACACTCTGTTTTAGATTGTATCTAAAAGTAGGCCATGTTGTTTTCTTCCACAATCACCTGTAATGTTATGAGTCATACAGTACTTACAAAGGCAGGCAACATGTCATGGTAGACAGCAGTTGAAGTGTGATGAAGCTGGTACTGCAATGCAGTAGGGACGGCTGTTCTGCGGACAGGCTGAGCAGGTCGCAGGGAAAGCTCCTTGGGGTCAGGGCCTGGTGACGGAGCCGTCACCGTACTAGATGAGGTGGTGACTGTGGCGGAGGAGGGGTGAGACGAGGCTGGAGGGGTGCCAGTCTCAGCCAGGGCAGTGGCCTTACCCTCAGGATCTGCTGGCAGGCTGAGGGTCAGGGATGAGGGCTGAAGGTTCCTGCCACCACCTTCCCTCCAGCTTGTCACATCTAGAAGTAAAAAAGGAAAAAGGGGAAAAAAATTAGAGAACCAGACCAAGCTAAACTAATAAAATGTCTAAAGCCCTGTGAAATTAGGAACTGCACTGAATTTCAAATAGCAATAGGTAACAACTTTCATTGAAAACAAGCAATGACTATAAATTAAAAACACATCCACTGACCATGTTGTTTCATCTCATCTCAATGCGGTAATTTCAAGAACTAATTGCAAGTGAATTAGTTCCATACTTTTTTAAATCAGAAATATTTAATCGAGTTCCCAGCCTGCATAGACAGATCATGGCCAAATGTGAGGGTGGGTGGTGTGAGCCAGTAGTCGTTAGTAAGAAAGTTGTCAGATTTCTGCTCTGAAAGACAACTTGCTTGGAAACTATGCAAGTAAATGACATCAAGAAGCATGAAATGCAGGTTAGAGGAACCAAAAAGGAAAAAAAAGCCCTCTTTCCTGTATTTCTTAAATAAAGTAATGTCTGCCAGTTTAAAGCTTTGCCTTCCAGGAGGTGTTACCTTATCTGTGAGACTGCCAATTTTAAAAGAAGGTGATACACAAAACATAAGTTACTCTGGGGGCGGAGGCTTGGTCCGGGCCCATACGACGGATCGAAGCCGCTTCTTTCCTTGCCAGCCCTGTCCTGTTCTCCAGCTGCCTTCAGTGTGGGAAATTCCTCGTGAGAGAAGGGCTGAAGTCGGTTTGAGGCCCTTGAACCTGATGTAGACATTGAAAGACATCGCATAAAGAGAGATGCTTGTCTGAGCTGAGCAAACAGAAAGCCATTTTCTCAACTGGGGTTTGAAATCTGAACAGCATACTGAACACTAACTGCGTGACATTTCATTTTAAACAGACTTTATTCTGAATTAATGAATGACTCACCATCTTGCTCTACTGCCTTTCCATTTAGCTGGGCCCATTGCTTTGGTCCACTTGTGTTTGTGTTCTGTGAAAATTAAGAAACCAAAGTCACCATCCCCACAGACCTAATGGAAGTTTCTCTACCTCTGAGGCACAAATGAGAAATTATCTTAAATATTCACAACCTTTCTTGTTCAACTTGGTACTGTGAGCTTTCCTCCATAAAGAAGGTATAATTCTTTGCTCTTCTACCATTATTAGTCTTCATTAGAATATCCACTAGACACTCATTTGTATACGAGTAGCTCTCAATTAGCAAATAACCGAAAACACTTAAACACAATCAATGTGTTAATGAAAATCTGCAATAAATATATGACTGAAGCAGATTTGTAAGCATACGTATACTCATACACACCTCCTGGTTGGCTACCGGTGAGGACTTCTGAAGATTGGAGACAGATTTCTGCAAAGGCAGCGGCGGCTGCAACTCCGGCAGCTGTGGTGTTGATGCAACAGAACTACGAAAAATAAAAAGACAACTGTGAGAAATCAACCCTCAAAAGCCTCTAAACTGCTTCTCTTTCTTCCTGGTGAACAGCTGACTTCTATCAAGATCAAAGCTTTAACTTATTTTATCCTGACACTGATCCCTGAAAAATATGTGAGTTTAATGTCAATGTTGATACTTCAGGAAGGACATTTCCATTTCAGCCACTGTAATCAACTAAAAAGGGTGTCTGAATATAAAACATTATAGCATAATTAATTTACTTGACAGACATATTTTTATTTTTTAAATCGGAGAAAGCGGGTCTATAAAACACGCCTTACTTCTTTTGATCGGGTTGTTCCTGCTTGTTCGCCCATCCTGTACCGTCTTTGGGCACTATAATCACGTTGGGATCGTTTCCTTTGTTTTCAGACTTCAAGCTCGGCAGATGAGCTGGCGGGGGCATACGCCGGGCTGTGGCCACTTTACCAAGACTCTGCAAGCCATGTCGCGGAACTACTGGGAGACAAAACATGTAGATAAAGAAGTAGGACCAACATTAGTAAAGGAGCTTAAACTAGATAACAGATGAAGAAAAAGTATCGAGTGGAGAAACAAAATGAGCCTTACCTGTGTTTTTCTGAGTTTCTATTGATTTTCCCTTGTACTTATCAAATAGGCTGAGTGAGGAATACTTGCTTTTTCCATCCTTGGACTTGGTTATTTGCCCCAAACGATCGGACATTGCGATGTAATGTCATCTAGTATGGAAATTTTTCTTTGCGCCTCTTCCCAGTGCCTTCTGATTCTAAAAAGAGGAAATGAAATATCCACCTTAGTACAGAAGTCACCCAAGGAAAAACCAAACCTCAAGAATAAACAATGTTAATTCACAACCTTTGTAAATATTTAGTGTTAATCTGCCAATATAGACCAAACCAATAACTATACAACACAGCACACTGTAACTGAGATATTCTACATGTAATACTGGTTTACAAAATACCCATGTAAATAACGATAAATGTTCACAGGAATAATACACATGAGTAAACAATATACAAGTTAATATAATATAAATATTACATATTATTAATATCAGTTAATGCACTCCAAGTAAGCCAGTAGGGCATGTAAGCAAAGTGTGAAACCAAAACAGCCATTAAGTCACTTAGAAACAATTTTACAAGTCCCTGAAACTGCATTATCTCCAGAAGAGATTCACTCGTGTGACATTTTGATGGTGTTTGATGGTGGAGAGAGCATCAAACACATGTCCCAAAATCTTCGGTTGGTTCAAGACCCGCTGACAGCATATGATCGAAACACTTTAGTGATATCACATCCTCTCTGGATCGGTCCACGGCTCCCTACAGAAATGTTTCATCAGCTCTTCCACTGAATTACACTGACCATTCACACTGAGGGACGAAGAAACCCAAACCATGGCAGCAAAAATGCCTCCGACATCATAATGAAACAAGGTCACCAGATTCCCTTAGTGTGGGTGCCAGGGGTCAGGGTTTTATTTTAATGCGTCTCTTTACCACATGTATAGGAGTTTCATAACCTAAAACCTACCAAGAACCAAAAGACCAACACATTTTGGTGTGAATTGTGCTTTCAATATATCAATAAATAATGAGGCCAAGTAAGTATTCCACAATACCCATATGGTGAACTGTGTTAACCAACACGAAACGGCTACAAATGGCAATTCATTTATTTAAGTGCTAAAAGTAATTTTATACTTTCCAGCTAGACTCAACAAAGATGGCAATGCTTCTGCAAAGGTATAATTAACCACATAAAAACACATTTTGTGTAGCGGAAACTTTATCTAAATGCAATTATTTTGAAACCACTACTGCTATTCTTTCTTTGAAGCAAATATCCCCTGTACATTACCATCTATTGTGGACATTCACTTCAACTTGAGTTTTGTTTTTCCCTTCTATCTGACCTCTGAACATTGTCAGAAATGTCTTTGAGGCAGGGACAACAACAGTTATTTACTGAAATTGTTGTACAAATAAATTTAACTGCACCTCAGAAGCAATGTAAGAGATAGGCTCTAAAATCCTTGTCAACAAGTTGTTCACTGCAAATTTCAATCCAATATATATTGTACTGTCAAATTTAAAGATGCTCCCTTCAGACACCACATGTGTTACAAAGAACAAGTCTTTGGGTGACAGGAAATACTTGAACAACTGTCCTACAACTGTAGAGCAGGGCAATTTGACCAAAAATATTTATCACGATATACATTTGAAAATTTGCGATAACGATATAACTGACGATATAATTGACACTAGACGAAATACTTTACAACTCCACAACTTTATCAGTGCAAAAAAAAAAAAAAACCCCATCAATGTATTTTCACTTAAACAAGCAGCTGTTTTTTATGTGCATTAAAGTTATATAAAAATTTAACAGAGCAAATGCAAATTCCTTGCTGACAGTTTAACCTAAAGGCATTTCCAGTGGAAATTGGCCGACATATCCTCAGCATAACCATGTATAATATCCACAAAACTTAAAAAGAGGTTACGATAGCCACAATGCTCCAACAATCCATCAAGCAGTGCGGCTTCGTAGCTTAGCAAAGTCGTACTAAAACATTTGACAGATTGTCGAGCACCGTGTACCACATAAAATCATTTCAAGGTCAGTAAAAACAATTAGAATTCATACATAAGGCACACAGGATTATAAGGGGCACTGTCAATTTTCAGAAAAATCAAAGGATTGATTTTAAGTGTGCCGTATTTTCCAAAAAACACGGTAATAACGACGGCCCGCTAGCATGCTCTACCAAAAATAGTGCTTTGTTGTGTATCTGACGGACGAAAGCCAAACCAGTTCCACACCACTGAAGTTGTTGCAGCATTTTTACCAACAACTTCTGGTTCATCCGTTTCATTCAGCGATCCACTTTCGCTCTTCTTATTCTCCGTCATACTTTTTTGGCCATGTGCGTATGAAAACAAAGGCACTGCGCATGTGCGTTTTACCCATATTCTATCGCGATATTTCATTTTCTTATCGTTGCCCAACATTATACCGGTATTACCGTGAACGGTATGATATGGCCCAGCCCTGATCTCAAGTCAACATTATTCAAGTGGTTTATCACATAAACTTGAACCACAATACTGCCATCTATTCTGATCCCTGGGTAGTAGCTGCATATGTGGATCCATCTGCTGTGGTGACCCCTTGTGAATAAGGGAAGTGCTGAAAGAAGCTTCTATATGAATCATGAAACAAGGTAATACAAGAAATCCATGAGTGTAGTTTTTACTGTGATACACTAAATTTCTTCTGAAGCGATCCAAATCTGCTTTGTAACTCAACGTGTTGTTTCACATGATTTTACACATTTTTTTCCTGGTGAATTTCTGCACATTTTTGAAATTGCCATTTCTCATTTCTCGTCTATAGCAGGAAAATGTATTGAGGATATGGTTTAAAAGAGATGTAACACCCGCCCAAAAAAGAAAATTTACACTATCAATGCACAGACCTTATGTTTTAGTACGCATGCATAGAACATCTTTATGCAGTCTTCAAATATCCTCTGCAGGTAAACATCAGCCAACAAAACATTACGGGGTGACTAACCTTGAGATACAAAACACTATAAACTTTAAAAACATCAATTACTCTCACAATATTTGAGCTAAATTTTAAAAAAAAATGCAGAGCTTAAGACAGTCTCTAAATGAATATCTGATATTATGTCCAGGTCGATGTCTAGTGCTAAAACCAAACAATGCCACCAACTTTCAAGAAATTATCAATAACAATGTCATCCTATGTTAAGCCCAGTTTTCCCCTACCATTTCAAGAAACACTGATCGGGGGAAAAAAATAATCCCACCTCACACCAATTATTAAGCACATCCCTATGTTTTTTTTTTTCTTTTATGCACTTAGGCCTACATTGCCACTTTACCACAGTAAGGTCCTGACATGAATGATGGCTGCAGGTTTAAATGTAAGCATGAAGAATGGTTATCTGTCTTTAATGTGTTCGCCTGATGTTAAACCGGCAATCTACAGGGTGTACCAGGGCTTCCACTCAGTGACAGCTGGGATGGGCTCAACCACTATCCCCACAACCCTGAAATGGACCAGCAGCTAGGAAAATGGATGGATTTTTATGATTAATAGGAAATAGTTTACACTGAAAACAGTAAGCCAGTATGATTATTACAGCTAGGAACCTTGCTTTTGGTATGCAACATATTGCTTTTTAAAAAAAATTTCAATATATAAAAATACATGTGGCACTGTGTCCCAATATTTCAGAAGCAGTTGTCTTGACACCTAATTATAATTGCCAGTATTGCTAAATATCTCTTTGGGTAACAGAAAAAAAATGCAATCCAACCTGAGAAAAATAATGTGACATGTTAAATTCAAATCAAACTCAAGCATGTCCATATTGACAGGAAGCAAATGTTACAATGTTGCAATGCCAAGAATTCCTTCTCTTTCCTGGCTAGTTCAAACTCCATTTCCATCTATTCTTTATTCAGTATTGAACTATTCTGAACAAATGATGGAGGTTTGCAGAAACTATCTAAATTTACAGGATACTTTAGTGAGAAACATCAAGTTAAGCTGACAGAAGCCATAGCATGAACAAAACTAGAGATGGCTTATCAACCCCACATGTAAACAAATAGTATTATGGTGACTTACTTTTTCGGTGTGATTAAGCAATACACAACCTTGGTAACACAGTTACAAATGTCTTCTTTGTCTTCATTTAAACAGTTTCATGTATTCTTTTTTCCAGTGTTATAATTATTGTTGTTGTGCTTGGTCAAGCGTCTTTTTTCATGATGGCTACATGAGCAGATTTTTCAGTGTTGGATAACACAGTATCAAAACAAAATACATCTTGATGGATTTATAACAGGACACAAGCACTAGTGTATACTAGGAGTATTTTCATGTGTGAATGAAATTAAGCAGGTTTCAACCATCAGTGGATAGTTGATTATCGTATTTGCAAATCTAAATAATAGTAAATATCATTTGAAGCTAACACCCGTCAATCCATAGCACAGTGGAGGCCGCTCGGTTAAAAGCTCCGCATAGGCGTTTTACAAAGACTTGTAGCCATAAATATGTCCATCAAGCTAAATTTAGTTATGCAATACACTCTGTTATGGTCGCTCGCACTACTCCAAAAAAACATAAAATCTACCAACCTCTCCAAACACAATCAATTTTTAAAATACATTGAGATGTGTAAGCTAACGCCTTGACGGCTAACGCTAGCTCCGCCTTGACTTTGTGTGAATTTCAAAAGGCTACGTCCACCAGAAAACCCAAAGAAAACACCACAAGCAATAAAGTGGGCATTATGTAATCGTAAAACAAAAATTTGGACTGGATTTTAGTTTCACCCCGAGTTACTGTTCTTATTTTTTTAAGCTAGCATACATGCTAAGCTCTCCAGCACAAAACTGACATTAGCGAGTGCTGCACAAAAACAAGAAAGTCAAAGGCTAATGCAATCGTTTAGACTACAAATCGATCGTCTCAGGTCTGTTTAACACACCTACCAAGACGGGCTAACTGTCTGTTAAATTGCAAGAGATTCACACAAACGTTACCAAAGATGTAGCGGCTACTACTCGGCGACAAAATGTGCTAACTGTTGGCTATGGTTATGTATATAGCAAATGGTCGTAGTGAGGATCCTGTAGAGTCATCTAACTTCACAGTTAAACGACGAAGACACACACAAAAAATGTAAACTGCTACTTTTCTGTTTTCTTTTTCCCCTAACAACGGCTCTAACTTAGCTTCAGCTAACAGCCTTAACTCTGGCAGCTTGTTGGAAAATTAGCGAAACGCCAATCCCGTAAAACTTCCAGTGGATGATGACAAATTACAACCGGTGTTTTTTTTTCAGTGCTTCTACAGTGGTGCTTTTATTACTGGGGATATACAGGCTTTTCTGTGGAAATTCTCTATAAAATACTCTGACCTGTGCTTATTTTTTTCCCAATCCCGCTTGGCTTTTTGAACGGCCTGAACACAGCGATGGGAATGTAGGACAAGACGATTAAAAATGGCTGCTGCCAGGAACAAAGCAACAATAAAACTGGGCAGCGGAGAAGACGAGCGAACCGGGAGCTCCCACGGAGCTATCTGCACGTATAACTCACCGATTCAACAACTTGGAGTGTCTTCTGATCAGTGACGGTGAGAAATTTCCACAAAATGTTGTCTACTCAAAGGATGGCTTGCGATTGTACAGCCGAATCTTCTTTAGGTTTAACCGATTGCAATGTTGTTGCTGGGGTCCTACCCGGCCTGAGAATGAACAGGGCAGAGTGGAGGCTGGATCGGCTCGGCTCACTACGTCCTACGTCACCGAGGGACGTCGCCAGCACAACATCGCCTCCTGTCGTTTAATTTCAGAAATCACAAAAACACTTCCCTGGATATTTCTAGGCCCTTAACCCCCAAAAGCACAGCAGTTTTTTAAAGTATGAAATAGATTTTTTCATAAATATTTTACAGTGAATGCGGTTAAACTGAGAGATATTTAAAATACAAAATAACAAGACAACTAGGAGATGTTATAATTTGACTCACACCTGTAATTTTATGATGGAGGCATTGATTCATCATAAATTGAGTGTAACAGCAGGCTAATGGTTCCTCTAGGTGTCTTCAAAAATGGATGTACTCCTCTTTATGCACTGAAGAAATACAGAACTTCTTTTCTGGATCACTGCTCCACCTCACCCTAGCATTCTTTTGTCACACCGACCCTCTGCATGTCCTGTTTCACTACATCCATGTGATCTTCTTCTATTCCTTTAACCAAAATATGAAATCTGTCTTTACATTAATCAACTTCTTTCAGAACTTTTGTTACACAAATACCAACGTGTTTTACCACAGGGATGTCAAAGAGTACACTGTGTGCACGTTTATGAACAGAGAAAAGTTTATGTTTTCGGATACAGAGACCTTTGAAAAAATTCCATTGTCTTGAATCATCATCTGAAGTTCATCCTTGAGCTGCCTTCTGCAGTCTGGCTTGTTACAAGCTGTTTTCTTTTTATTATTATTCTCACAGTTCTTTAAAAAAAATGAAATAGCCAGCAGCATTAAAGCAATTTTGGCTGCTTAAATGAATAGTCCTTGATGGAAACACTAAGAAACCTTTCTTTAAAATGCTGATTAAAGACCAGATTAACTTCAAAGTGAAATAAATCACAGACCTGAAAGCCTACTAAGGAAGGCCGGGTATTTGACAAACGTGTTATTAAGCGAGCATTGTCAAAAACATAAGAGATAAGGTCTTTATTGTCATTGCACAGTCATACATAGTACAACAGTACAATTAAATTGGAAAACTGTCCCACGTCGGCACTATGTACAATACAACACAACACAGTAACTTAAGTAATAAAAAGAAGAATAAGTGTATGTTTATTGCACATTGTTATTATTGCACCATGTTATTAATATTATTATTGTTATTGTTGTCCCCCCACCCCCACAAAAAAAAAAAAGTCCAGGGAGGTAGAATTCAATGGCGCAGCGGTAGAAGATGATCAGCAGCTCCTTCTTCAGGTCCATTTTTCTGAGGATTCTCAGAAAATGGAGACGCTGTTGGGCCTTCTTTAATTTTTTTATTTATTTATTTTTTTTTTTCTTAAAAAGTTGGGCCTTCTTTAAAACTGCCGAGGTATTTGAGCTCCATCGGATTCCTGTGTCTATGTGCACACCCAAGAACTTGAAAATGGAAAATGCTGACAGGCTGCATCAACGGGGGCCTTCCTTCTTCTGAAGCCGACTACCAGCTCTTTTGTCTTGGTGATATTGAGATCCAGGTTGTTGTCTACACAACTATCTGACAGCCTCTTAACCTCAGCTCTGTATGCCGTCTCGTCTCCCCCAGAGATGATCTGCGAACTTAATGACTGCATTGTCTGGGTGGGAACTGAGGAAAGATAAGGCCCCACTCTAACTCTGTGTACACGGTCTGAGAGGAAGTCTCTGATCCACCGGGTGGTGTGGAGCATTGTAGCAATGGTGTCTTCAGTTGATCTGTTAGCTCTGTATGCGAACTGGAGCTGGTGGAGTGTGGGTGGCAGGCAGGACATGATGTGACGTCGGACCAGTTTCTCGAAGCACTTCATTATAACAGGTGTTAGAGCAACTGGTCAGTAGTCGTTGAGGGTGCAAATGTTGGTACGCTTTGGCTGTGGGACAATTTTGGCCGACTTTAGGCATGGCAGGATGCAGGACTGGGACAGTGAAGTGTTGAAGATTTTAGTGAAGATCCCAGCCAGCTGGTCTGCACATTCTTTTGGAAACCTTCCGGTCACCCCATCTGGACCGACGGCCCTCCTGGGGTTCACCGCCCTCACTGTGCGCCTCACGTCATGTTCCTGCACCATGAGGCTTGGGCTGTTGCTGCCGTCTGATGTTTTAGCTCCTGCTGCCTCTAGTCCCTTCACCTCAAAGCGTGCTTCAGCTCCTCCGCAAGCATCGCGTTGCCCTCAGTCAATGTGGTATTGCCAGGTTTGTAGTTGATTAGTTCTGAACTCCCTGTCATACCTGTCGTGAGTTGTTGCTGAAGTGGTCTTCAATCCGCCTCTTGTGCGCTGCCTTGGCCTCTCTGATACCTCTTTTCAGCTCAGATCTGGCTGTACTGTAATGCAATAACATCACCGGATCTGAAAGTGGCGTCACGTTGCTTCAGCAAGACCTGGACTTCTGTAGTCATCCAAGGTTTCTGGTTGGAATACACTCGGAGATGTTTGTCACAGTAACACTGTTGATACATAAGTTAATATATGAGAGCACTGATGTTGTGTGCTGTTCGAGGTCCTGGTGTTCAAACACACTGTGCTTTCAAAACAGTCCTGCAGCTGATGTGATGCACCTTCACAGTCTTTCTGGCTGGGGGACTCTCCTCCTAAAAGGAGTGCATGCAGAGATCAGCAGCATGGATATGTGGTCTGACAAACCTAGATGTGGTAGAGGGGTTGCTCTGTAGCCTTTTTGGATGTTGCTGTAGGCTTTATCCAGTGTGTTTTTCCCCCCTTGTTGCACATTTAACATGCTGTTCAAATCTGGGGAATACTGACCTTAAGTCAGCATGGTTGAAGTCCCCAGCTATAATGTGCACTGCGTCGGGATGGGAGTTCTGCTGACTGCTTATTGCCTTGTCCAGCTCCTCCAAGGCCGAGTTAGCGTTAGCATCGGGTAGTACATACATGGCCGTTACCATGACGACAGTAAACTCGCGAAGTATGTAGAATGGTCTGCATTTCACAGTAAAATATTCCAAATCCGGGGAACAGTGGCGGTCTACAGTCTTTGCACCAGCTGTCATTGATGTAGATGTATAAACCCCTTCCTTGGTTCTTACCGGAGTGGCCGTTCCTGTCGTGATGGTGGACCGTGCGGCTTGCTAACTCAATAGCCGAGTCCGGAATCGATGGCTGCAGTCAAGTCTCTGTGAGTAGTAGGATGCTGCTGTCCCGTACACACTCGCTGACTACGTCGGAGAGGAGATACTCAGCGGTGGCTTAAATGGTTGTTTCTTTAGCCGTGCGAGCGGGCCCGCCCTGCAGCCACGCTTTTGCCTCCTCTGTTTACGTTTCTTCTTTGGCTTGCCGCTGGGAAGAACCAGCCACAGAGACCCTGGAGTTCTTATTATGTCCTCCGGAATGCCGTGGAAGTGGTGATAGTCTGACGTAATGTTCCTTGCACAGCGTAATCCCAAACTCAGAAGGTCTTGACGACTGTAAGTAGACTCTACTCCAGGGGTGCCCAATCCCGGTCCTCGAGAGCTACCGTCCTGCAGCTTTTAGGTGCATCCTTGTTCCCACACACCCGAATCAAATGAATGGCTTGTTATCAGGCCTTTGCCAAACATGATGGCATGCTGAAGAGGTAATCAAACCATTTGATTCAGCTGTGTTGGAGTAGGGATGCATCTAAAAGCTGCAGGATAGTAGCTCTCGAGGACTGGGATTGGGCAGCCCTGCTCTACTCGATGCAGAGTAGTAAAAAACACATTCACTCACACATACACACGTAGAAAATATAAAAAAAACAAAGCACCGAACATGAGGCGCAGTGAGCCGCTGCGTCTGTGCCCGTCACCGTCTTTAAAAGAACACGAAGAGAGAAACGGCAATGAGACTCCTGACTAAAAATCTAAAAAGGCTTCCGAGGCTTTTTCAAATGTTACTTTGGGATAGAGTCTGCAAACTGTGTTTTATGATGGGTGCTGAATGATAAGACTTGCTTCTAGACAGATTGTTGGCGATTACTGTTAAAAAACAACAACAACAATAATAACATAAAAAATTATCTTATTCAACATTTTAACACGATGACTTTCAATATTAGCATTGTGTTCATATGTAATTTCTCACTTATTCTCTCGAAGACCTCTGTAAAGTCTGGTATTGACGGGGTGCTGCTGGAAACTCTAAAGTTTGAGAGACTTTTGCCTCCTCTTTGCTTTTGCTTTTTCCTCTTCATCAGCATTTTCCTTTGCTGGGAATTGGGTATCATTGTGCTCCCGTTGGTCTCCTCCAAAAAAAAAGCCCACACAGCAACCTACGTTTGTCCACAGCCCGACATTCACACACGAGCCCCAATATATGCCCCATCACTTTGCACTGCCACACTGACTGGCCATAGATGTAGCCATCTGATGGCTATGTCAACACTGACTTGTAGTATCAGGGCTAACCCCATCTCAGACATGCATGGAGATATTTTTCTGACATTTTCAGCGGCAGATTACCCGTATCTCCTCCTCGTTTTTCCATCCGTGCTCACGAGTTTGTCATGGATTCTGATATATAATGCAGAACCTCTGTGCTGTCAGCATCCCAGATAACAATATTTCCTTTTGCTGAATGCAATAAGTACTCCGGGTTCAGGCACATTCGTAATAGCAAATGTCATATAATAGTTAAAAGTCAAAAACAATTGTCAAATAGTCAAACAGTTACTTGTTTCCTGAAGCAAACAATCTGGTGATTGAGCTCTTTTCCATATTAAAGTTCCACTTCCCCTTGCTGAGAAACTGTGCTTCAGAAACGCAGGATGCTGGAGGGATGCTGAACTGCATGGTGTTAAGGTATCCCACATGGTGATCATGCCTTTTTATCAAATGGAGGCAACTTGCTTAAAACAGAAATAACTCATTGTTTGAGTTGTAACAGACTGTGGACCCAGATCCAGTCACCCTTAGACCAGAAAAGTAAATTCAAACTCCAGAATGAAATCACTGAAGTTTGATCAGTGCAACTGTGTATGATGATGAGTTTGTGGTGTTCCTCTAACTTATATTTCCAGGATGTTGGTTTGTTTGGATGCCACAAGCGCAGTGATATATCTGATCCACCAGTCACCAACCTCGGAAATGATGAGGATCTTTCAACACACGCGCAACACTCTTAAAAGAACCATTTCTTACAGACTGTTTTAGATATGCTGGGTTTGCTGAACACAGGTGAGAACAGCGAAGCTCGAGCAAACAATTGAATCATGCTGCACACACTGATGAAGATGGGAATCCTAATGTACAAAAAAGACTTAAGAGAGATTCTTTAAGAGTGTTAAAGGATATGCGGCTCTGTATGATGGGAGATGAGCACAGACAAAAATTCTTTTGAATCACCAAAGGAAATAAAAATCCCTTTGAGGCCACTTGATCAGCAGTGCATGATCACCACTTGGCTGTCCTGCTTGATAATGCAGTACTTTATTTCAAACCGTTGAGGGAACTCATTCCACATTGTCGCGAAATCGATCAATGTAGAGCAGTGTCACAAACCACGGAGGCCCCAGAAAAGTGCAATCAAACGGTGAGTTTATTAACAGCCCGGAGAAAACATCAACATATGTCTTCTGACCAAAATACATGTTGTGGACACTTATAAAGCAGTGGGGTACACGCCCCCCCCATGGCGTCAATGACAGATTAAAATAGGTTCCAGACATTAGTCACAGTTAATCGTACATCTTGTACAATAGCTATAACAGACATAGAACTTCTCTTTTCTATAACACCTTCCATACAAGGTAATAAACTTCAAGCCCTCAGGGTCTCTGGGGCTAATTATTGACTCTGGTCATCTGTTGCCAAGTAGAGTAAAATATAGTGAGACACCAAATGAGTTAAGGCCTCAGGCCTGACACATTCCTAGATTATATGTGTTGTAAGCATGCATTGCAGTTATCCTTCTATGTTCTAGTTTCCCTCAGCATGTATCACCTGGACAGTCACGCCAGTGAAGCTTAAGACCCTTAATGAGCCGAACATCAACTCAAAATAAGCACAGATATGCAATGTGTATAAAATACTTCTAACCGTACTTGTAATAGAAGTTAACATAATGGAAGGATCCTCAAATGGACATCTTCAATCAACAACTTTAATGCAATATCAATACTGTAAGAAATATTATTAAATGGAATAATGCTGTAAAGAATCTTATTAATGCAGTTATAATGATGCAGGTTATATGGCAGCAATAAAAGAATTTCTGTATCTCCACAACATGCACAATATTGGGTCTCTGTCATCACACCATAACTTTGTTATGCCATATCATCATCATCATCATCATCAACATCATCATTTATTTATATAGCACTTTAAAAACACACCTGGTAGACCAAAGTGCTGTACAATACAAATATGCATATAGTAATAAGATAGCAGAAATCAGACATAGCAATCAAGTTAATAAAACAAATGTCAGTTACCCACAGAGTTAAAAGCCAGGGAATAAAAATAGGTTTTTAATAAAGACTTAAAAACTGGCACTGATGTAGCCTGTCTAATATGGAGAGGAAGGTTATTCCAAAGCATCGGCGCTGCAACAGAGAACGCTCGGTCTCCTCTAAAGTTTCAGCTGTGACTTTGGGACCGAAAGCAGCAACTGCTCAGCTGACCGAAGGGAACGAGTGGGGACGTGGGGCTTCAACAAGTCAGACAAATAAACAGGTGCCAGACCATTTAGAGATATAAAAAACGGACTAAACGGATAAAAGGACTTTAACGGATTCTAAATTCAATTGGAAGCCAGTGTAGAGAGGCCAAAATTGGAGTGATGTGATCAAATTTCCTTCTCCCAGTTAAAAATCGTGCCGCAGCATTTTACATATGGAGAGATACACACATCTCTGACTCTTTCTGGGATGTTTTGAATTTTTGGAGTTGCTATTTGAACTCCTGGTAAGAAGCTGGTTTTTATAATGATGGATCGCGGATATTCATTGATGAGTTCTTGGATTCTTCCAGCAGAAGGCAGTTTCTGAAACTCAGAAATTCGAATGAGATCCATATCAAACATAAATCTATAAAATTGAATTCAAATTTAAAATATGGTATAAAGCAGACTAAAGACAGCTGTGGCCCATGTACGCATCTGAAAATCTCCCTCCAAACCTTCACTGAGGAGCCCTTTTTATGTGGCAGGTTTCCTCTGCATGCACTGTTCTCCTCCTGCAGTCCAGAGACATACATGTTAGGTTAACTGATGACTCAGAGGTGGCAATATGTGCAGATGTGAGCTCGATGAAGCTATGAGTGAGCAGTAAACCTATAAAAATGCAAGACCAAGTGTGTGAATTAATATTATAAATACATAAAAAGCTAACATAGCATTAGGGTTCAGGATAGGTGTGTGGGGTACAAGCCACAAAGATAATAAGTACACCTTCACCAGGTTGTCCTTGCATGACACAATGTGGTAAAACTCCTGGGATCAAATCTGAGATGCACTTTTTGTATCCATCTGTCTGCACAGTCGTGTTCAGCAAAGTCAGATTCTCTGAGCACCACAGTTCTCTTTTCCTAAACCCTTTAAATCGTTTATCCTGACCTTTCCCATCACAGTCAAATAAAGGTGATTAGGAAAAGGTTGGACTATATTCCACCACAGCCCACTGTGTATTTGGATATGACGTCCTGGAGTGTAGTCAAGGAGAGTCCTCTAGAGGGCGCACCTGTCTAACCTGTTACTTTTTATTAAAGCTGCACAAAGCTGCAAATGACCCCATAGCTTCTTTTCATTGCCTTGCAGTATTATTTTTATGGCCTATTGCACCGCAGTTGTTTTTAGTCCCCGTGCTCATGCTTCAGTGTATAACATTCACAGTCACACACTGAAGCATGACAGCATTTTACCCATGATCAACATATATGTCCAAGAAACTATTTCTGTCTGTTCTGCACAACACTTACTGTCTTAAACTCTCTGTTAAATATTCAAATAGCACATATAGTTTCACAATAGATCCTCAGTTCCAAAAACATTAAGGTGAGAATCTGATTGATTTTGAAATCAGTTTTCATTCCTGCTTTTGGTTTCACAGCGCACTCCTTTGCATTGGTGCGGTTTCCTATAAAAATCCTCTGAGGTAAGAACAGTGTGACAGGAGAGCTATAAGGGTATGAAGTATGAACAATAGTCTGAATCGGCACATTAAAGTGTGCTTTCTGGATAAAAACTCTGTCGAGTAAGCGTAATCTTGGATATTCCTGTCTATTTTTGGTCCCATTTAATTTTTGTAAATTAAAATATTAATTTATGTCGCATATTCAGTCGTGCAATTTCATTTTATGGCTTTGCGTGATTGAGTTTATTATACTATTAAATACTTCATTAATATTTAAAGGCAAACTGTGGCCTGCCATACACCCAGAGCATTTTAATCTATAATTGTAATAATACAGGAAAAATTAATTTAAAAATTAAATCTCTTTTTCATTAAGTAATTTTAGGTTGATGGGAAGCTGTAGTGTCCATGTTATGCACACTCATCAGCCACACCTTGCAAGTATTGGAATGCACCCCCTCTTTCAGCCTTCAGAACTGCTTTAATTCTTCATGCTATAGATTCAGCAAGGTGCTGGAAACAGTTCTCAGAGTTACGTCCATATTGACATGACAGTGTCACACACTTGCTCCAGATTTGTTGGCTGCACATCCTTGATGTCTCTTGTCCCACCAGATCGCAAAGGTGCTCTATTGGATTGGAGACTGTGGAGGCCATTGGAGTACAGTGAACTCACTGTCATGTTCAAGAAACCGGTTTAAGAAACTTGAGCTTTGTGACGTGGTGCGTCATCAGCAGAACTCAAGACGCATCCAATCAAGGAAGTTTGTTTTGTTTATGTTTTGTTTCTCCAGCCTCCTACTGTCTGGTTTCGTGAGCTTGTGTACCAGTTTCTGTTCTAAGCTGACGGGAGTGGTCTACTGCTACTGTACCCCAGCTGCCTCAGGGTTTGGCATGTTGTGCGTTCCAAGATGCTCTTCTGTGGTGAGTGGTTATTTGAGTCATTTTGTCTTCCTATCAGCTCAAAGCAGTCTGACCATTCTCCTCTGTCCTGAACTGGCGCTAACTGGATATCATCATTTTTCAAGCCATCCTCTGTAAACCATAGAGCTGGCTGTGTAGGAAAATCCCCGTAGATCAACAGTTCTGAAATGCTGAGACCAGCGTGACTAGCACCAACAACCATGCCATGTTTAAAGTCACTTAAATTCTGATGCTCAGTTTGAATGTCAGCAGGTTGTCTTGACTATCTCCATCTCATCTGTTGTGGATGGAGGCAGTGTGCAAAATGTGTGGTGTAACTGCTGGCCAGAGGGGCCGATATGGCAGCCTCGCTTCTGTCAGTCTGCCTCGGGGCGGCTGTGGCTACAACTGTAGCTTGCCTCCACCAGTGTGTGAATGTGAGTGTATGAATAGTGGAATTGTAAAGCGCTTTGGGTGCCTAGAAAAGCGCTATATAAAAGCAATCCATTATTATTATTATTAACTGGTCTGTGAGCCCCTCATGCTTTTGCTGTTGTTTATCCATTGGCAAGTCACAGAGAAGAGTAAAGTTATAACATGTAAAGAGCTGAGGTTGAAAAAGAGTGAAACGTGTCCACTGTATATGTATATATATAGTGGGTGCAAACACCCCATCTGGAAAGAAATGGTGTAAAATGTCTTTCCAAATGAATAGCCCTCTCCGTATGACATCCCTATGGAAATCCATAACTTAATTTTCTTGAGCTGTGGGGCATTTTACAATCCTTGTGAAGTCTGAAGTAATAAAAACTACTTTTCTTTGGAAAGTTGTCTTAAGAGCAGACAAATAAGCTACTGGTAAACAGAAAACAACATTTATCCTATTAATTGTAATAAATATTTTTCCCCCACATTCTGCTTGTGACATATCTGCCCAAATCTTTAATCACAGACAGAATAGAGCAGCAATCCCAAACACCCACAGGCACATATACATGAAAACAACAAATTTGGACTGCTAGTGGCATCCTCTTACCAAAACTAAATAAAACACATTTACATTTTCCTAACGGTTCATTTCATTTTATTGAGATAGAACAACATAGTAAAAACATCATATACAGATCCCTGTACAGCACATACACTAAACTGTTTAATCATACTAAACCAATGAAATGATGGCAGAGTTCATTCAAAGCCATAAAAAAAGGCATAACATGTCCACAGCTGATATTTCAAACCAATGTTTGCTTCTGCTTCGTATGCATATGTTCCCACACACATGCACTTGTTTTTAGTGAGGCATAGAAATAGTTTCACTGCCATAAACAGTTTATGATCAGCTGATTTAGAGATTTTAATGAATCATTAATGAAAGTGCTGTGGAGAAATATTAGCTTTAAAAATGATTTAAACTCATTAAATCACAAATGGCACATTAATAGAAATTAAACTTGAAAGGGTAAGAAAAAAAATTTCTGGGTGATAATTGTACATAAACAGCTTAATTAAAAAAAACTTCAAATATGATAAACATATGAGCAAAAGAAATAAGAAATGTAGACTATCCAAACTGCCTTACTTTCATATATACTTGAATGTTACATACAACAATATAACTCCAAATTTCAGTGTTCAGCTGTGGCTTCTGTGTTTAACTCTCCTAAAATAAAAGAGAGAAAAAATGAGATCCAGTGGAGTTTGGTGTCCTTGATAGAAGTTAAATAATAAATGAATATGAATGAAAGTCTTTTGAAAAAATCCAAACCACTTTTCCTTCATGTACACTTTCAAGAAAACCTGTAGCCAGTCTGCAGATATTTTATTTTGCTTGTGGCTGTTAGTGTTTTGTTAAAACTATGAAGCAGTGTCATACTAGAACTTGTAAAGCGTTATGAAGGTCTTGCGAGCTTCCTGGTTTAGGAATTGCATGCAAGTCAGCATCTGGATCCGAATATTAGTGGGTTCCTGCTTGCAGCCTGCAACGAAAACCTGCTTTGCAACTTTAACCAACGCATAGGTGACAATTTAAAGGAAAACCCCAAAGACTTGAGCCTTCATCATGAACAGAAGAATGCAAGTCTTGTTGAAACAAAGCCGAGGTGCAATAAGGCTGTTCTGGCACCAAGTGTTTCCTTTAATTTGTCACCCGTCTGTGTGTTTGATATTGCAAGGTTAAACAAGCCATGTGTGCTAGTAAAAAGCTCAGAAAAAGGGGCTCCAGCTCAGCGTGCTTATGGAAATAAGAGTCTGACAGGTGTTTGATGAGAGCCACACCGTCTCCATTAGGCTAAAATGGAGCATGCCAAGTGCAAAGCCGCACACCATATCTGTTAGGTGGTGCTTGCCCAAGAGCACCCGGGACATGCCCACTAGGAAGGCCCACAGCACCAACAGGATGCGAAGCGGCACAGCCAGCACCAAGTGGGACAGCAAGAACTTGGAGACCATGGCAGCTCGGCTGGCGTGGGCAGCGGGGAAAGAGTACACGTCCATGGCGACGCAGTCCAGGAAGCTCGGTGTCATCTCCCAGGGTCCTCTCCGTTTCACCAATCTCTGGACTCCAGCCACGGTCATCACGTCAAGGATGAGGGCTATCATGAAATAAAGAAAGCAGACAGTTAGTATGAATATGCAGTGAAAGTCAAAGAAAATGGTTAAAGGAGTACCTGACTTGAATCATGGTACAAGTAAAAGATCATCGCTTGAAACCATATTCAGAGAAGTATAGAGGTGTTACTGGTGATATGTACATTGATTTTAAGGTAAATGTGATCATTTTGTGGAAAAACAACCACTGTGAGTGGTTTTACTTTGTCTCCCCTAACTGGACATCTCTAAGGTGTGAGATGATTAATGGGGATGGATGTAGCTTTAAAAAAAAAATCAAATGGACATCAACTCAATAATCAGTTTTATAAAACTATTGGTCCATTTGTTAGTCTTCACATAAAACAGAACAACTGTAGTAAATGTGTAAGTAGATATTTCGGTGACTAGTACTAACCAGCGAGTAACATTTGCTTCACATACCAGACATTCGGAGACGCCTTTTATAACTCCACAGCACTCCCCAAAAATATTTCTACTCTGACCATCAATAAAGCCATTTAAAGCCATCTTCACACTCACTAAACCAAGCCTACGCTAAATAACTGTCAAGTGTCTGAGGTACTAGTTATACTGCTCTAATACTTGCTATCCTAAAGGGACCGTTCTTTCAAAATCAATCTCAGCTCATTAAAGGCAAGACAATGTGTCCATGCATATAAAATCAACTAAATCTGAAAAAGTTCTCTCAGAATCAGACGAATTGTTCTGCACAGTGAATTTAGTCTGTTTAAATTTTACACTCATACAGTGAATTTTTTCCCAGTTACAAGCCCTACAGGGTCTCACACGGTCTATTTGCAATTTGTGGCTTCATTGCTTTTTGGGCTTGTTACAGATTTGTTTTGGCGTAAAATAACAGGTCTCTTTTACTGAATTTTCTGAACTTTAGAAGGGGGAATTCCAGTTGCTAGGACCTCATCTGCTGGCTCATCCACTGACTAAAGATGTTTGATCAGTGTGATGATTCCCAGCTCTTACACAGAACACCAACGATGAGTGTTAAAATATGACAGAAAATCATTTGACAGATTGAAGATGAGCCTGGAATCAAAATGCAGATAAAAAAAAAGAGGAGACCTTTCATAAGCAGCCGCACTAAAACATCCACAGTACCAATGCTTGATTCTATGTCACAGACATCAAATTGGTGTCATCATTTTGTTAATGAAGCAATAATATATCCCATAATACTGACGCTTAGTGTTGGTTATAGAGAAAAAAAAAAGTACCTCAAAGGCCTACAACTTGGAAATATCACCAATTGGGAGGTAAAATTTTGTTATAGTTAAAATAAAACGAGGCATAAGATGCCAACTGATATTGAGTAGAGGTGCAATGGAAGGACATTTGGGGTCTTTGCTGCACGGCCCCATTGTGCCATCTCAGCAGACGGGGACGGTGCTTGCAGCCAAACGGTGACGCATCGTATCGGCTGTAAGCACAAGTCTCTTTGCGACTGAGGTTCTCTAAGGTTTGCTGTCACTGCAGACAAACTAAGATTTTCTCTGTGCTCCTGCCGTGAAAGATTGTCTGCAAACCTGCGGTCAGCATTGTGGTTCGTTTTCAGAAGTACGTCATCTAAGATTTGAGGTGATGAACTTAGATTTGCCGTTTGAGGGTGGAAACTCCGATTCTAGGAAGTGTAGCAGGCGTGAGCAGACAGGTCAGGCTGCTACGCGCTGCTGAGAAACAGAAGGAGTAGTCAGTCTGTCGCGTATTCTAACATACACACTGTGGTTAGTCAGCTCACATGCACTTATAGTCCTGCTCTATATACTCTACATAGATGTAAAACACAGTAATGACCACAGCAAGCCATTTTTCTATGTTTGCTATTGTTCACATTTACTTTTCAACAAGGGAGGTTACATGTATTTATATAAGGTTTTTTGTATTGGAGGGGGCGGCATGGAGGCACAATGTTTTTTGTGCCATTTTTGCCATTATTGGAAAGTACAATGCGAGAAAGACACGAAATACAAGAACAAAGGAGCAGGGGGGTGACATATAGTGAAAGTCGAGCTGGTAATCAAACTAAGAGCTTTGGGGAATCCACCTAAACAGCTAAAAGTGGAAAGATTGTTGAAATTTCCGTTGTGAAAACCAGCGATATCTCATATTTTCATCTCAAACAGACATACCCTGCGCTGCAACACTGAGATACTTCACAAATGCTTTGTCTATATGTGTTTAACATCAAAAAACACCATTCATTTAATGCTTCTCAAAAGACAAAAAGAAGGGAAGGAGGGCTACACAGGTAAGCCCCTTGAAACAAAGCTTAATACTGAGCTATCTGTTTCATCAAGCATGATGAAAAATTAATTAGAGACAACAGCTGGGTGAGCATGACCTAATCCTGTCTGTTTGTTACTGTCACCCTGCACACAGGCCTCGGCACAGAGAGA